GCGCTGCGGCGCGCGCGCGCGCGGTCTACGCCGAACTGGGGGCGGTATCGTGGTTCACGCTGCCTACTCGGCAAACAAGTTCGCCGTAGACCGCGCGCGCAGCGCGCTCCGTGTTTGCAGACCGCCCTGGCGGACTCGTTTACACTTCCAAGCTCAAGCCAGGCGCCGCAGGCCATGAAGAGGAGCGCAGATTAAAATGGCGCCGCAGGCTCCCCGGCCCTGGATGTGAGGTTAATGACTGCACTCCAAGTGCTCCAAGGCTCCCCGGGCCGTCCGCGCACAGACCACAGGGAAAAACAAAAATCTATAAAACATCTATCAACACCACTAGGGGGTGGGTGGGCTCCGATCTCCTCATCTCCAATACTCTCTAATCCACAGCGTCGTCATCTTAGGCCGGGGATCCAGTCAGATCTCCGATCTCCATCTTCAATCTCCAATCTCCAACGTCGTCATCTTAGGCCGGATTCGGTCAGATCTCCGATCTCCATCTCCAATCTCCAATCTCGATTCGGGGGCCCGGGGGAGGAGGGGGGCTCAAACCTTCAAGGAGATGCGCTATGGATTCATTCACACCCTGACCATCTCTCATCTCCAATCTCCAATCTTCTACTTGGCCACTGTCGCCGCCGGCAGCAATCTACGACCTCCATTTTCAATCTTCGATCTCACATCTGGGGCGGGTGGCTGGGCGCTAGGATCTACAATCTGCATTCTCCATCTCCTATCTCCACATTTTGGCCCGTGTTGCTGCTCAGCGATCTGCAATCCACAATCTCAATCTTCGATCTTTAGTCTTGAATGGGGAACCGGACAGGAGGGATCTACTGGCGAGACTTGGGCGTGTCCGTGTGAGAGATCCGCTAGGATCTCCAGTCTTAATCTAAAAAAAAATGCGTTTTATCCCGCGAAAGACACTACTCTCCCCCTCCCGTCACTCGTCCCCCTTGGCGTGGCGCGCCTCTCCCCCAGCTCTCGATATCGCGTACTGCACGAGGCTACCGTGGGCCCCGCCTGCGCGCTGGGGATTCCCTGCCCTGTCGGGAAGCCTAGCTCTTAACCTGGGGTCGCTACCTAATGCGGGGCTCCTGGACGGGCGATGAAGTTCGCCTTGAATCTCTCGTCTCGCTTTCCCTCCAACTCGCGTCCGTCGGGGGTACTCCCTGCCTCCGGCTCTCTCTTCTCCCCCCCCCCCCCCCTCCTTCCCTCTCCGGGATGAGATGCGCACTGCTGTCCCTAGAGGGGGGTCGGGTGGTGAGGGAATTGATTAGGCTTCGTGTTGTTGGCGGTCGCCCACGGACGATCGCCGGTGTGGGCCGAAGGACAGAGGCTTGCTTGTGTGGGGGCGCGCGGGCGCCCACTCAGGCTCGGCCTCCGTTGTCTCAGCCTTCAGTTCACCTCTCCTAGCGCCCGGTTTGGTGTGGCGACCTTCATTTCGGGGTCGAAGGTGCTACACACACTTGCCCCCTGGTGTTCTGGCACTCGGCGTTCTCCATAGGGGTTCGTGTGTTTTTCTTTTTGGGGACCATTATGATTTCACTAGTACCGGCCGTTTGTCGTTTGTTTTCTTTTTGTGACAAAAAAGAAATACCGAGGATAATGCAGTGCGCACAGTACTGCGTGCGGCAGGCGCGGGCTCGACGTGAGGCAGGCGACTGTCGCGGGGTGCGGGCTGCATCGCTGTGCGGCGTGCGGGGACTGCGCGGCGTGCACATGTGCATGCACATGTACATGTCATGTTGTGCATGTCCCTTGCATGTGCTCTGTGCTGTGTGCAGGCAGACTGGACAGCGGACTGAACGGATGGCGGCCGCGCGCGCAGCGTGCCACGCGCGCGCCTCGTGCAGTGCAGGATCTGCGTGTCGTGTCAGGCGCGAGGCGGCAGGGGCGCAGTGCGGAGCATGCGGGCTGAATGTTCAGAACAGGCAGGGCTGCTGTGCAGGCTGCATGCACAGCCTGCACAGCAGCCCCCTGCTCGGGTAACACGAGCGCGTGCTCGGTGGCCTGCGCGCGCGGCGTGCCGCCGCGCGCGCCTCGCGGTGAAGCGTCCTGCCGGGCGTTCCAGTCTTAATCTACTATCTCTACCCCAACGATCTCCTGTTCTTGAGCGCAGAGATGTCCATTACTCTCCACACTGCACACACCCTTCGCTCCCGTAATGTGCACAGTACCGGGGGTAATAGTTCTTGTGAGCTCTGCCAAGCCCCAAGCAGCCTACTGTACAGCTCCTCCCCGGACGCGTGCTCGGTTCGCTTCAGCCACTCTCGAGCTCCGGTCTAGCACCGGGGGAGGTTGGTGTCCCCGCGGGAGGGGCGAGCAGCGACTCGGTGAGCGGCGCGAGGAGGCCTCCCGCCTACCCGAGATCGAGCCGAGATCGAGCCGAGATCGAGCCGGGATCTCCCGCCTAGCGAGGGGCGCCGCCCTCCCCCGCAGGTCTCTGGTCACCGCGCCGTGCGGAAAGCGCACACGCGTGTGCAGCGGGCTGAGAGGCGGGCGGTCTTTGCCTCCGACGCGATAGGCCGCAAGGCGCCTGGCCGGCGACGGGGCGGGCGGGGCAGATGAGTGCTGGCCGCGCCCCTGTGTCGGGCGGCTGGCGAGGCTGCCCACGCACCGCGCTTGCCGAGCTGGTTCACCGTCACGCAAAGCATGGTTGCGAAGAGAGCCGGGCCGTAGCTGCGGGGAGGGGCGGAGGAGGCGAGGAGGGTGGAGGCGAGGTTGAGGAGGCGAGGAGGCGCAGAGGGGCGAGGAGGGGCGAGGAGGGGTCTGCAAAGGCGCATCGGCGGCTAGGGCGGCACACACATGCCTCCGCCCGCCATGGCGCCGATGGCGGCGCCTGCGCACGAGGGAGGGTGGCGAGGTGCAGCCGAGGTGCGGCCGAGATCCGACGGAGGTTCTGAGCGAGGTGCAGCCGAGATGTCTCCCGGACGGCGGCGCCTGCCCAGAAGGAGGTTGACGAGACTGTCCCCTTGAGGACGGCGTTCGTGTAGCCGCCTCCAGACCGCCAGAGGACTGCGCTGCAGATGAAGCCGACCTGCCCGCGGGAAGAGCGGCTCGAGCTCCCGCAGGCCCCCTGGGGAGGGCCGCTAGGCCCGGTTGGGGGCTCCTAACTGCGCGGCTGCTGCTAGGGCCGCACCCCCTTTGGGATCTGCGCGGTGGCACGGGCTGCGTCGAAGGAGAGGGGGCCATGCAGCTCGCTGAACATAGAGCAGATGGTGCATATGCAGGCGCCGAGTGTCACCATGCACATCGACTTGACCGGCGCTGGCGTACTGGAGGTTGACCGCTCGGTGCCGAGGAGTGTGCCGCACAGGAGCGCAAATAGCAGCCGCCGGCACATGTCCGCCTCGAAGCTGCTCAGCCCGCCGAGCTGCGCATATCGCCGGTACCAGCACGGGCTGCGATCAGCGCCGTAATGCGCGTTCGGAAACAGCTCTGCCGGCTGGCGCGCCAAGTCGCACGCAGGCAGCCAGCGGGGTCCCACGAGCGCAAACGTGCTGAACATCAGCATGGCGCTGCCGATGACGGCGTACGCCGACTTCTCCAGCGCCGTTGCCTCGCTGCTAAAATACGCCTGAAACTTGGCTAACATGATGTTTTTTCGTTGCAGAGCGCGCACACACAGCAAACACTTGGTCTCTTGGTCTCTTGGAGCAGAGCCTGGCGAGTCCTCGAAAGAGCCACCCTCGGGTCCATCCATAGGAAGAGGTACCCGCCGCTCGGAGCGTCTGGCGAACGGATTTCCCCGAGGGCTCTTGGGGTGTGTGATAGAGCGAGCTGGGGATGGGTGGGGATGGGTGGGGATGGGTGGGGATGGGTGGGGATGGGTGGGGATGGGTGGGGATGGGTGGGGATGGGTGGGGATCTGGGGATGGGTGGGGATGGGTGTGGGGATGGCGGATGGGTGGGGATGGGTGGGGATGGGTGGGGACCTCGGGGATCAGCGGGACACGTCGGCCGCACGCTCCACAGCTGTACATGTACATGTTTGCACGTCAAAGTTGTGAAGTGCCTTCGCGCGCGCGGCGCCGCGCTCATTACGTCCCATGGGACGGTGTGAACTCGGCAACTCGCCTGCCTGGCGCCATGGCTCGTCCATCATCATTGAGAGGTCTGTCCCTCGCTGGGTGTCACTCTAGTGCCCCGTGTAGGCGACGGGCGCCCTAGCTGTGAACAAGCGCACGCCGAGGGGTTAAATTTGCTTTCAGCGCACGCCGAAATTTGCTGACTGAAGCTATCCATGCACTCGCTCTTCTCAGCCTCTGGCGCACGCAAGTCGAAGCACACGCTGCCGAACGAGCGCGAAGGCTTCGCGCTGGCCGTCGGCGCCTCGATGCAGTGGTCCAAGCCGCACGTGCGCCCGCGCCTGACTTTGGCGACGACGAGGAGCTCGAGGAGGCACGCCGCGCACGTCCGCCACCGGCTCCGCCGCCCCCACCGCCCCCGCCTGACTTCTGAACCAGCCAGGAACCAGCCCGTACGGGGATGGCTGGGGATGGCTGGGGATGGCTAGGGATGGGTGGGGATGGGTGGGGATGGGTGGGGACCTGGGGGATCGCTGGGGATGGATCCGGATCGAGCGTGGCAAAACATTGATGCAATGCGCTCATGAGTTCCTTGACTCAAGAAGTAAAAAGTACATATGTATTGACTGATGGCAATCCCAACGGAGGGGCATGCGTGTGATGACGAAGATCCCGAGTATCATCTGTCCAGCGTCCACCATACCGCGTTGGTGTCCAATCCGAGCCTGGCTGTTCTTCACCTTCCTACCTAACCTAACCTAACCCGAGTAGAGGGTGCGTTCTGCAGCGCTAAAGGGAAACCCACGGTAGGCGGAGCCAGGAGCCCTCGGACCCGTGTTCTAGACCCCCGCGTGTTATGGCCCTGCGACCGCGCACCCCGCAGGGTCAGGGCTCTCTAGCCTGGCACCCTGGAACCTTGTTGTGGGGCACTATCGACGCGGCGTCGGCCACCATGATGCTTATCACGGCCCTGATGGTCAAGCCCTCCATGACGCTGCTCAGTCTGCAGCCCCCCGTGCGCCCGAGGTCGCTCCGGACATCCACCCGCTGCCGTATGTCGCCAAAGCAGCACCGCCGGGCACCGTGCGCCGCGGCGCTCCCTTCGTCTACAGTAATCAGGAGGGACACTCCCAGATTATGCTGCGCCCGCTCTCCGAGGGACGCATCAGAAAGCGAAACATGCTCCGGCCATCGTATGCGCGCAGACGCTGGCGCGCTACGTGCGCCGGACCGGCAGCAGTATGTCTCCGGCGAGGATCACCATGATCGGTGCAGTGGTCAATGTGCTGCTCTCCGGGTTCAAAGTGGGCGTCGGCATCGTCGGGCGCGCTGATCGCCGACGGCTGGCATTCGCTGAGCGACCTCTTCAGCGACGCGCTGTGCTGGGCCTCGGTGCAGCTGGGGGCGCACGGCTACGAGCGGCTCGAGCACGTGTGCACCCTCGGCATCGCGGCCATCCTGCTCGCGACGGGCGTCGCGATGACGGTGCACTCGGGCTCGACGCTGCTCGGCTTCATCCGTGGCTCCGCCGGCGCCGCCGGCGCCGCTGCCGTCGGTGCGGCGAGCGCCCTGAGCCGCGCGCCGCGCAGCGCCCACCTCGACGTGGCGGCGCTCTGCGTGGCGATGGCGTCCGTCCTCTCGAAGGAGCTGCTCTTCAGCATCTCGCACGCGGTCGGCGTGCGCTGCCGCTCGCCCTCGCTCATCGCCAACGCCTTCCACCACCGCTCCGACGCGCTCTCGTCGGTCGTCGCCGTCTTCGGCATCTTCGGGGTCATGTGCGGCTGCCGCTGGATCGACTCGCTCGCGGCGACGGCCGTCGGGCTGATGGTCGCGCGCATGGGGAGCGAGGTGGCGATGGAGAGCCTCGCCGCCATCGGCGAGGCGTCGCAGGACATCGCCGCGAAGTCGACCGGGGCGATCCCCCGCCCTCGCATGATCCCCCACATCGTGCTGAGACCCTCGGGTTCGCGTTTGCGTTTCTGTTGACTGCTATTTACGCCACTTGAATTGATTGTGAGCCACGTAAACACTTTCTTTCAAATCTTTCAAAGCTCCTGCTGCGGTCCATGTCCCGGGTCCGCGCTGTGCACGGGCTCCTGCTTCGGCCCGAGCTGCACGTGGTGGAAGCGCGTCGACGAGCCCGCCGCCTCGATCGGCGAGATGGCGAAGAGGCCCATGCGCCACGGCTTCTCGCCGCTGCGCAGGCTGGCGATCCGGATCTGCACCCACGGCGCCGCGCTCTCCGCCGTCGCGCCCTCCACCCACGGCGCCGCCTCGAAGACGAGCGCCGGGCCCTGCGCTGCGCCCGGAAGCAGCTTGGAGACGCGGACGCGGATCGACGTGGACTTGGCGGCCGAGTCCCAGTCGGGCCACGTCTGCGTGCTCCAGTCGGAGAAGCCCTCGTTCGTCACGACGCACGACAGCCGCGGCGAGCCGTCGGTGAACTCGATGCCGGCCTTCACCCACGTGCCCTCGTCGACCAGGATCATGATGCCAGCCTGATCGAACTGGGCCCGCGGCTTGAGCGTGAAGGCCGTGGTGAGCGTCGCCTCCACGTCGGCCGCTACCGGCCTCAGCAACGTCTGCGCGTCGTGCTTGACGAGCAGCGGCTCGTAGAACGTCTTGCTCCAGTAGTCGAGGTTTGGCGTCGGAGTGACCGTCAGCGCATCCGTACCGTCACGCTCGAAGGTGTGCTTGGGCACACCGTTGTTCCATGTGAACTCGTCGAAGGTGGTGATCGCGGTGGTTAGCATGCAAAATATGAGGGCATCGCGGGTGGTTAGCCGCTTGCATGCAAAATTATGCGGACTGCCAGGCGGTATGCACTAACCTTATGCACTAACCTAGGAAGCCCGCAACGCTCCGTCGACGCAGTAGGGCGGCGGAGGCCAGAGTGGCGGATTGTCGCAGCCGGGCGGCTCACAGAGCCAAGCGGCATGCACTAACCTAAGCACCGGCCTTCGCCGTCGCGTCGACAACGTAGCAGCGAAGTAGCAGTGTCAACCCGACGGCGGCAGTGGTCGATGTGGCTGCGACGTTTCTACGAGGCTTCATCGCGACCGCTATTGAGCGGGTGCCGACTCGCGGGCGCCCTAGTGCAGGGTCCCGGGGTTTCTAGTCGGCAAACGCGACGCCTCAATAGCCTCAATAGCCAGCGTTACAACAGCGATTCATTTCGGAAAACATGAGTAACTTCATGCGAGCGTGCTTTAGAGTTGTGAGTACATGTACTCCGTGCCGCTGACGTGATGGCCAGGTACGTGAGCATCAGCACCGTGGATGCGCCGCACGCCACGCCGAGCTTCGGCAGAAGGTCCTCGTCCATCGCCGCACGGGTCAGCGCTGACCAGCTGAGCAGTGCGAACGCAAGCAGCGCGTTCTTGGCCTGCCCGACGGCAGCCCATGAGCGTAGACTGCGCAGCAGATGGGCGTCCGCTTCAGCCTGCTCGCCGAGCTGGTAAAGCTTGCCGCCCGGCGACTTTATGAACGCCATTCGTGGCTCTGGACCTGGCGTCCAACTGATGGACGATGCACGAAGCCACATCTGACGTCCTTCCTCCGGGCTGACAGTCGACATCACGCCAGTGAATCTACCATCCTGCAGCTGCGACCAGCCTGAGAGCACCGGGATCGATGCCTCGTCGACAGCGTCACACATGCTGAGACTGCTGCATCGGCGCACCACCTCGCGGCCAATCCGTGCGGTTGTCGCTCGTGGCTGCACTCTTAGCGCGGATGTAGACGCTAGCGCGAGCCCAAGCACGGCGAATTTCATGCTGGCGAAGGGGTGCCGAACGCTTAATACCCCTTCGCGTCGACGCTCTCGCGCATCAAGCGCTTGAGGGGATTCACCACCCAAGCAGCACTCCCGGGTCTATGGTTTGGTCTGTGTGAACGTGTGAACGTGTGAAGAAGTGTGTATCGCGCGCCTTGCGGGGGGGGCGCGGAAAAGAGGAACCTCTTAGCGCCATCGCCACGGTGCTGCATGCAGCGCCGGGCGACGACGGCTTACCGCCTCCCGGTCCCCCTCGGCACACCTCCGCTGCTCAATGTTTGACGGCTCGAACCCGTGAAGCTTCCCCGTGCGCGGGTTACCCCGCACACGGGTCAGCCTGCCAGCCACGTATCCACGCAAGCGTGGTCCGCGTGCATGGCATACAGGCGTCCGCCAGACAGCGCAGAGGCTAGGCGACCGGGGAAGGACTAGCTCAAGGGCAACACAGCGTCACCAGCCGTTGGCGCGCAGAACGAGTCTGCGGCCCTCGGTTGGGACGAGTGCGCGACGCGGTTGAACCGCTCAATATGGCCGGCAGCTCGCGCTGCCGGCGGGGTGGGTTGGGGAGAACCGGCACGGGGAGGGCCGGCCTCCCCGGAGGGGTCGCCCCCTGGAGGGGCCCCAAAGGGCCCCCCGGGGGGGCGGGGGCCCCCGCCCCGAGGGGCGGGGGCGCCGGGTCCTTCCGTGTCGCTCCCCTCGTCGGGAGTGTCCGTCGGGATGGTGTTGTCCGCCCACTCGGCAGCGTTTGAGCCTCTGTCACCTTGCCTGCCGCGAGCAGCTAGCTCGTCGACGTAGTCGTTCCATTTGTTGCCGCTGTGACCCGCCACATGCCTCCACGTCACGGTGTGTTTGGCGCGAAGGCGTCGCCAGAGGGAACGAAGGCGCTCCGCTAGCTGTCTGTTCGTTTTGGGGGTCACCCTCCCCATCATGCACCCCTCCCGACCCCTTCCAGTCTTTTGCCCACTCTTTCTCCTTCTCCGGTCCAGGGCACCACGTCTCCGCCGCTGCAAAGATATGGTATCTCCTTCGGTACTGTGACAGCAGGTAACGTCTGAACACATTGTCACCCATGCCCTGTACGTTTAGGAAGCCACACGTTGTGTCGTTTACGTACTGCTGTCTTTTCTTGCCCTTCCGCCCCCTATTGCCGATTATGGCTTTTATGTATGCGTTCCATGCCTTATGAGTAAAGTACCAGTCCTTTTCGACGCTTGCCGACGCGGAGAGGCGGCGGCGGGCGACGTCGTGTAGCGTGTGGGTCGGTTGGCCCATCGTGGTGGCGGCTGCTGCGGTCGTCATGGCGATGGCGATCGCGGCGCGCGTGCCAGGGCTGTGTCTGGCGGGCTCGGTGCTGCTCGAGTGAGGTGCGTGACTGTGGTGGCGCTGATGGGGGGCGTAGGATGAGTAATTGGATGCGCGAGCGTTCTTGGTTGTGCAAGCGCTCTTCTTCCCTACGTCTGCTTGCGCCTGGTCCACTGCACAGAGGCGGTTTCGCGCAATCCTGGCGGCCGAGCCGGCATCAGCGCCTTCTGGGTAGCGTGCGTGGTGGTTAGGCATCGGGTCGGGCGTGCCTGCTGTCCGCCGAGTCTTGGGGGCGCTGACGGCGACGTGGTTGGTGCAATTACCGAGGTGTGAATAGGAGAACCAATCGGCCTGTGCCCCTGCTGTGAATAACTCTCGCGTGATCTCGGCCGATGCGATGGCTTTGGCGACCTCCAGGGTAGGCGGGTGGTGGTGAGACCGCGGGAAGGGTACGCCAGAACGCTGGCGGGTCGTCCTATCGCCGTTGGTGGCGTTAGTGTCTCTTGGCGCGAGGTCTGTCTGCGCCTGGTCGCCTGCTGTCAGTATGTTGTATCCACACCGTGGAATTCCGCCGTTTTCGGGCCGCCCGTGTTCGGGGTTTGGTTCGCGTGCTATCAGGGTCCCAAGCGTCACAAGAAAGAGTACACACCCGGTGACCAAGGCACACAACCCGCCTACCCTCACCCCATCGCCCCCGGCGCTGCCCGTCCGTGCCAAGATTACCCTCACCTCGACTCGGTGGATTGTGGCGCTGGGGGGCTCGCCCCTACCTATGGGCGCGAGGTGGACGCGAGCGCGTTCGCGTACGTCGTCGCTCGCGCCGCGGCGCGCGACTGCATGTCCTGCTTTGCCAGGGCGCGCTGCGACATCTTGTGCCGGATGTAGCTCTGGAATTGCGGGCACTTTGCTCCGGGGGCGTGGACGACGGCGTGAAAGGGGCAGAAATTCTGGTAGAGGATGCCAAAGTCCTGGCAAAGGGCGGAGATCTTCTTTGTGCCGGTCGCCGCCCACGCCTCCTTGTTGGTCGAGGCGGCCGCGCCCGCACCCTGCGCCGTTTCCTGTGTAGGGGCGGGGCCGGGAAGGGCTTACTCCTCGCCGGTCAGTCATCGCGCGATTTGGGGGATGTGGGGGATGTGGCTTGGGGGGCGCTGGGCTTACCGTGCGCACGACAATTTTGTCGCTGATCGCCATCTTCTGCGGCAGGAAAGAGGGGGTGAAGGGCTTGCCTCCCGAGTCCTTGAAGGAGGCGACCACGTAGATCTTGTTCATCGTCTTGATGTTTCCGCGCTTGCCCGTCCACGAACCGCCGAAGGTCGAGATGGGCTTAGCATCCTTGCACGATATAATCGCGTTCTTGTACTTGGCCGCCTCGGTAGTCGTGATGATGCCCGAGGTGAGGAGCTGCGTCGCCCGCATCTCCAGGAAGGTCTTCCCGCCGGTGCGCGCGGTGAAGAAGAGGGTGACCATCTCGCCAAACAGCTTGAGGTGCTCGGGGTTGGAGACGTCGAGGCCTGACGGCGTCTGCGTGAAGAAGAGGACGACCACGCCCTCCATCCGCGCGGCGTACGCCGGAATGCCGGCCGCCTCCGCCATCGTGTAGACCTTGATGCCTTTGTAGGCCTTCCCGCCGCCCGCCACGTCGTACAGCGAGGCGGCGCCGGCCTCGTCGATGGTTAGGTGGGCCGCAACCTTGAACGAGGCGCCAGCCTCGTTCTCGAGGTAGGTGAGGAACGCCTCCTTCACGGCGAACTCGTCGATCACCTCCGAGAGCACGTCCTGGTTCATCGCGCCGGCCTTGCCCGAGCCGTCCGCCATGACGACCATGGTGATCGGCGCCTTGAGCGAGCCCTCCTCGCTGAGGAGGGTGCCAATGATTTCCGGCATCTGCATCGAGTCTAGGACGCCGTCAAGGCTGTCTTCCTCGGGGGGGCCCTCCGCGACGGTCTCGAGGGAGGAGGCCATGATGCCCGGCATCTGCGGGTTGACGCCGATAGGCTGTCCGTACTCGCCCCGCTGGCGCACGTTGCGCCCGGTCGCCTCGCCTTGTGCGCGGAGGGGAGAAGGCTGCGTGGAGGAGAGGGAGAGGCCGGACAAGCCCGTTTGGCCGACTTCCATGGGTTGGAACAACCCCCTCAAATGACGTGTGAGTGTTAGATTTGTTTGGTATTGCTAAAAATCTCTCTCTGGGTTGGGGCACCTGTGGCAGAGCTGCCGCCGGTAAGCCGTACGCGTGCGTCACGGCAAGTGTGACGATGATTTTTCGTGTCCACCCGATTAAGGTGGATCGACCGGCCAACATGGGACCGGTGGTGAGTGGCTGAGTGCAGGTGCGCGCCAGGTTGGGGTATCCCGGAGTCATGGGATCGGCGATGAAGGCGTGCATCAAGAAGACCCTCGGCAATCTTCTGCGCGCGCACACGTCGCGCGCGCTCCTCCTGGTACACCACCAAGCAAAGCACACAGCGCCAGCACGCGCGGCCGTGACCCGAAACAGCTACTAGCGACGGCCTCCACGCGACTACTAAATCCCGACACGACGACGCCGCCGAGCACTCGGAGTGCTGATGCCAGACGACGATGTCACCGAGAAGATCGCCGGCATGTCCGTCGCACCAGTCGACTTCGATCAGGCGTTCCCAGCCATGGCACGCCACATGGCACGCTGCAAGGGCGAGCTGTTTGTGTTTTCACGAGGCAGCGACGGAGGAGCCTTTGTGCGCTTCGACTCGTGCGGCACGTCGCCGTTTGAGCCTGCGCCTGTGAAGATCACAGTGCTGTATGAGGAGGTTGACGGTCCGCCATCGCTGATGGAAGCTCTTTGCGACGTGGAGGCGTGCTTGATCTGGATGCAGGAGGCGCAGGGCCCGTGTGAACTCACCCTGTGCAACCCGGGTGGCGAGTACTGGGAGGAGGCGGGCCCGGAGGAGCTGTCGGCCGAGCAGGCACCTCGCCTGCGCGGCGGCGAGTCACGGAACGTCGCGTTGATCCAGCGTGAGTTCTGGGAGGTCCACGACGAGCCGGAACTCGCCACGGTCGGGTGCTCGGGCTCTTATTCTAGGTATCGCTTCGCCGCCAGCTTCCCGCGGCTGGATGCGCTGGTCCGACATGGCTGCGTGCCCCCTCCTCCGGGGACGCCTCCTGCGGGCAACACCATCAGCGCCGACGGCTTTGTCGCGGGAACGTCCGGCGTATCGGAAGCCTGCGCAGCGCTGATGCACAGTGGCCATCCCTCGTGGGAGGTACCGGACCGGGAGCGGATGCACACCGCGAACGGCGCCCTCTCGTTCCTCGAGGCCAAGCTACCGCCCGTCGAGGGCGAGCCCGCCGGACATGCCAGCCAGTGCGCCACGGCCGCCGCCGCCGAGGCAGCGAAGCCGCCTCCGTACCCGCCCTCGCTCCGCCGCAGCGACGTCTTCCCGCTCGATCGCTTCCCAATCAAGGAGGACCCCCGCGTGGTGCAGCGGCGCGAGGACCCGGCAGGAGCCGAAGCCGAGGCGCGCAAGATGCGCGCGCGCTTGTTCTCGAGCCCGCACTTCCGTGGGGGCGGCCTCTTTCAGATGTGCCTGATGGAGGCGCAGCACAAGCAGGCGAACGGGATGGAGCTCGACGAGCTCGATCGCACCGTCCTTGGGCCGCCCACGCAGGGGGAGGACGACTAGTTGGGGCGAGCAATGTGATGGCGCTTGCGTCATGTCACTTTCTCAGTGTTGATGGTAGGTGTGTAGGTTTGGCGTGTTTCGGGATACACCGCTTCAGCACGTGCATTCAACTTTGGATCTTGGCTGCAGCGGGTTTCTTTTTCTTAAACGCTCTCACTACCCACTGGCAGGCCGAGCCCGCGCCGGGCACGTGTACATATACACACATATGCTGGCTGCCGCCCTCGTCTCCGCCGCCCTTGCCGCGGCAGGCGGGCATCCGCTGCTCCCTCTCCGAGCTGGGCGGCGCGCCGTGTGCCCGCCGAGGCCGCTGCTCGCGCTGCGAGGCGGCAGCGCTCCGGCCGGAGGCCTCGTCGTGCGCATCCGGACGAGCGAGGGCGTCAAAAAGGTGCGGCTCGAGAGCGGCAGCTCGACGCTCGCGCAGCTCGAGGAGGCGCTCGCGGCGCAGCACAAGCTGCGGCTGGACGGCGCGCGGCAGCTCTCTCGCCAAGGCGAGCCGCTCGACGTCAAGGCTTCGGGCGGCTCGACGCTCGCGGAGCTAGGCATCGCGCACGGCTCCTTCCTCCACCTCTCCTCCGGCCGGTCGGCCGCGGCCGCGAAGGCTGGCTCTGCAGGAGCCGAGGCTGAAACTGCTGCCACCACCTCCTCACACACCTCGGGAGGCTCCGCCACCGCCTCCGCCACCGCCACCGCCACCGCCACCGCCACCGGCGCCTCCGCCCCGGGTGCATCGCCCAGGAGCAGGGCCGCGGGCCGGCGTGGCTCGGTCCGGCGCACCTTCGAGCAGATCGACGACGAGCGGCGCGCGCGCACGCTCGAGATGAAGGCGCCACCGGCCGCAGCAGAACAGAGCCCCGCCCGCGTGCGCGCGTGTGTGCGTGCGTGTGCGAGCCTGTCCGGGCCGATCCCCTGTAGGCGCCGCCCAAGCCGCGGACCGCCTTCGTGGCGGTGGACGGCGGCGCGTCGCGCTCCTTCGCCGACTACGGCCAGCGCGCCGGCGGGTTCGAGGAGAGGGGGGCTCCGCTGTCCGCTCCGCCCTGCCGCAGCCGGTAGCGTGACGTGTCCGGCGGCATGCCCCGCAGGAGGGGTCTCCTCGCCGCGCGGCACTGTACGGCCGCGTGGCGCCCGACGACAAGGGCGTGCGCGGCGTCTGGGTCGACCTTCTCTGGGAGCCGCCCCAGCCCGACGCGCCGCACGCCGCAGACGCGCTCTCGGCCGCAGACGCGCTCGCGGCGCGGCTGGGGCTGGCGCGTGTGGGCGCGGCGTACAGCCACGCGCCGAGGTCGCACAAGGTTGACGCGGAGGAGCTGCTCTCCCTCTGCTCGGACGCGAGGAGCGCGGCGCAGGGCCCCGCGGCGGTCGGGGCGGCGGCGGCCGACTCCAAGGGCAGCGCGGGAGGAGGCGCGGGCGGAGGCGCGGGCGGAGGCGCGGGCGGAGGCGCGGGCGGATCCGCGCGGCGCAGGCCGGCCCGGCCGGGCGGCGGCGTGGTGAATGCCCTCTCAGGCGTCGCTGTCGCGCGCGCCGCGCTTGGAGTCCGCCTCGTCTCTCACTGCTGCACCGCCGGACCTGGTCAGGCGAGCTGGCCGTGGAGAGAGAGGCGCCGCCCGGCTTCGTCTGCCTGCTCTTCCGGCCCGTGTACGAGGGCGAGGCGTAGCCGAGACGCCGGCCGAGATGCCGCCCGAGAGGCGGCCGAGATGCGGCCGAGATGAGCACGAGGGGCGGATTGGGCGGCGGCGGCGCAGAGGGGCGCGGGGTGGGTGTGTGCTGCGGGGTTGAGCAGTGGCTGCGTGGGCGTAGGCGAGTCGATCGACGGGCTGGTCACCGCGGAGGCGTACGAGCCGACGCCGCTCTGCGAGGAGCTCTGCGCGCGCGACGCTCTCGTCGCCGCTCCCACTGCAGGGGAGGTGGGATCGGCCTCTCTCTCTCCCCCTGACCCTCTCTCCCTGGTCTCTCTCTCCCTGATCTCTCTCCCCCTGACCCTCTCTCCCTGGTCTCTCTCTCCCTGATCTCTCCCTGATCTCTCTCTCCCTGATCTCTCTCCCCCTCTCCCTCCCCCTCTCGCTCAGAGGGCCACCCCTCCCCCCCACCCCTTCCCCCCACCCTCCTCCCTCCTCCCTCCTCCCCCAGGTCTCACTCTCCCCCAAAGAGGGAAAGGCATTCCGCGTCGAAGGCCGCTCCGGCGTGCCCTCCCTCGACACAGCCTACTTTGCGGTTCGCGTCTTCGACTCGGGGCGGCCGCACGCCGCGCCGCTGCGCCGCTCCTTCCCGCAGGCCGGCCGCGGCGCCGACGTGCGCAAGCTCCACCTCCGCTCCTTCCTCGCCAGGCAGGCGGAGGGCGGCGTACCCTTCCGCGACACGGCCGCCGACTTCGACTTGCTGCTGTACGCGGCGCCGCTGCTGCCGCCGGAGCTGCTCGCCGCGGTGTGCGACGCCATCGCGCCGCGCCTGCGCGGCCGCGCACTCTCTCCTCGGCAGGAGGAGGCCGCGGCGTCCGCCTTCCGCGAGGCGGAGCGCTTGCTGTACGAGCACGCGGGGCTGCCGCCGCCGGAGCCGCCGGCCGAGGAGGTGGCCGAGGCGGACTCGCCGCTGATGGGTTGCCTCGCGGGGCTGCGGCGGCTCGTCGCCTCGCTGATGGGAGGGCCTCCCGCGGCCGCGCTTGAGCCCGGTCGCGCGCGGGACGATGGCGTCCGCAAGTGAGAGAGTGTACGCTCGAGGCATGCGCGTCTCGCGCGCGTTCGACGCGTTCGCATTCACGTCTAATTTACAACGTGCCACGAGCGTCACGTGACATGTACATGCTCAAGCCTCAACATGTCGGCTTTTGCATGTGTCACAAAGTACAAAGTACGACGCGGGTCACAGGGACAACACGAGAATCCGAGCAATTCACGAACACGGCTGCGGCTCCACACACCAGTGTACAGAGGCCACACAGACTGCGGGTCCGCTCTCGTCGATGTCCTCAGAACCGGAATGACAGGCTGCCGTGTACGACTCCACACTTTATCAGGTGTGATCGCCCGCACGGGGGAGCATGAGCACCGCGCTAACCCCCTCCGGCGGTGCACCAATCCCCGCAGCATCAGCACCGGACTCGGCCGCGGCCCATCCCGGCATCGGCGCGTTATGCAAGCAGAGCGTGCCGCCCATCGACTCGACGAGCCGCCTCGCGATCTGCAGTCCGAGCCCGGTGCCCTCGGCGTCGCTCTTACGCGCCGCCGCCCCGCGGTAGCCCCACTCGAAGGCGCGCCGCAGGTCCTCGTCCGGCAGCGGCGGCGAGAACGAGTTCCAGACCTCGGTCAGCACCTTGCCCTCCTCCTCGCACCAGCGGCACGAGAGGCTGACGCACGGCTCGCCTCCGCCCGGCGGAGGCCGCGCGTACTTGAGCCCGTTGTCGATCACGTTGGCGAGCGCCTGCAGCGAGGCTCCAGGACGGGTCTGGCGCACGTCTGCTCGAGCCCGCTGTCGATCTCGTGCGGCGGAGCGCCTCGCGCAGCGCGCGCTCGGACGCCCTCACGCCGGGCACCTCCTCGTCGAAGAGCGCGAGCAGCTGCGCGCCGCGCGAGGAGGCGACCGCCGCGCCGACCGAGCACGCCTCGCGCAACACGTCCGTCACGAAGAGCACCGGCACGCCCACCTCGCCAGCAACCTCCCCCACGAAGAGAGAGACCTCCTCGCCCGCCCACCCCGTC